TTTTTTTTTTTTTTTGATGCACACATTTAGTATTGGCTTGTTTGGAATGGCATTCAGTGCTCCTGACATACGGAGGTATGGTACAGCTCTATATTAAAATTAGTCCCTTGCATCAATTACTTTACTACAAAAAACTATGACATACTACACTGACATAATGATAATAAATTATAATATATTCTGCAAACCTGTATATTTGACAAGAGAACTTTTTAACAAATATTTTTTTTTTACATTTTTCTCCCCACAGTGAACACTCCAATGCAACAGTAAGTGCAACAGTCCTCTTAACTTAGCTTGGGTTTAATGTTTTCCCAATTCAGACCACAAATGAAAAACATTATTCTTACCTAAAGAGGTTTATTTAATCGTTATTTTTGAAGTGCACTAACTATACAGTCATACATACATGGTAATTCTTACTATTGAATAGTTATTAATGGGTTTTATTATTAGTGTTCCCTAGACCTTCGTCTTAAGAGGTGTCTACCATACTACAACATCTCTGAGCTAACTCAACAAAGCCATCTAACCAATCAATCTGATGATATGGAAACAAGTTTTCTATTAACACTTCTGATGCAAAAGGGAGATTCTAGAGGCAACATTGGTGAGATATATTAATAATCAGTTGTATGATTCTAAATTTGGATAATATGTGTTAGGATAATTTCAAATAAATGTTTTCTCTATCCAATCTTGGTTTGAAAAGATTATTAATATAGTATGAATGAACAGTCATCATCATCATCATGATCTCCCATTATGCCTGGGTAACATATAGCCCAAGGCTAGGGTCTGATATCATATTAAAGTAACTTTGCAAATTTAGTGAAGAACTGGCAAAATTATGACTAAGTATTGTACGAGATGAACAGTAATTTTATGTGCTAACTGTCAAACTCTATCTTTTACTCCATGATCAAATTTGATTTTGGAAGCACTTAATTTTAAAGACACTGCAGATCTTAGCTAGAGCCCAGAGATTAATCCTTCCTCCAGTTTTATGTTGTCATAAGAACAAACAAGCTGTACCAACTTAGCACCAACCGCCCCCACAAACTTAAAATCATATTCTATATCCTAGGTTTATACATTGCATTTTACTTGTGTGTGATGGCTTGCTATGCTATGATGAGTGTACCCTACAATGGACTAATTGCAGACCAGACTCCTCCTTCACAAAGAGGTACACAGTTTTGTAATGTTAATGATAATGTTAGTGTTATTATAACAAATGAAATAGCTTTTCCATGCTCTGTTCAGTAATAAAACATGCAGCAGGTGACRTAAGCACAACAAAAGTGTGAAGAGCGTTTCACACTTCTTGTAATGAGTGCTTTCTAAGTGCTTTATAACTGCAGGGTGGAGCAAGGTAATAAACTATTTAAATTGTTTTATTATAAAAAGGAAAAATCTATTGCAATTTTTGATGCTGTTTTCTTACAATATTCTTTGCAAAGTTACAAAGAACCAAACACATCGTAAATAATCCTAACAATGCTCAGGTACAGCTGTAGAAATTTATGTCACTAATTAGTGAATTAATCATTCAAACCTATTAGAGTTTGTTACAATAAACAAGGTATACTACGGAAACAAACAATAATTAAAAATAACGAGGGCATAATCCTACTAAATATAAATATGTAAAAACAATATTTTAAATTCTAAAAGTTTTTAACAAATATCTTAATAAATAGGTTTTAGTTCAGGAGTAATGGGTGCAATGACCTTAGTAGGTAATGTCACTGGGGCAGCTATTGGACTATTCTTCCCGGTGAGTTATTATCAATATTGTGAAAAAAATTAAAACTATATCTGAACAGCTCTATGTAAAAATAAAGTATGTACATGCAAACAATGCTGCAAAATAAACCCTAAAATGTACAAATGGAATTCATTTGATAAAAGATGACCGCAGCCTTTCCCATTGTAAATTCTTTCTTAATTAAAATTTTGAGTGAAATTAACAGTATTTCCCTAAATATTCATTAAGGATGACTTTTAAGTTAAATATTACCATGGCAACATGAATGACTACAGTATTTCCATGGGGATAAATGCTCAGTATTGTGTCCTAGAAATAAGTGAAAAAACATCAATTCTTTTAAATAACAATTCAATTAAAGATAAATAAAGAGAATATAAATTTAGGGTGTATAGGTATTAATAGCTAAATCATAATAATTATCCTCAGCTGAAATATTTTGTTCACAACAAGAATGGCATAAACGTACTGACTAATCAATAAAATAATAGATATCTCATAAATATTGTGTATTTTTCTTCAGAGACTTGGAGTAGTTGGTACATATGCTTTGATAGCTATACTCTACTTTATATGCGTAGTATTAACAGTGTCGACATGTCCTGAGAAACCAGGGAAAGCTATAATACATCCACCAGTAGGTAAGTAAAAATTTAAAAAAATATTATTATTTATTACACATACAGCATAGCTATCGTATCATTAGTATGAAACAGTATTGATTTCTTTATCTGCAAGTTTTGATTATTTTAATAAATAATTTTTAAGTTAGTAAAATAATATTGATTATCATTTTTTTAAATAATTCAAATGTTTTTTTATTCGATTCTTAAACATTAATTAAATGTTAATTAATTAAAAACACTGTTATATTGCAGATCTAAAAGTAGTGTTTCTAGCATATTGGGAACCCCTGAAAGGTGAGGACATTTCATCTAATCTTTCCAACCTTCAAATTTTATCAAATACTTAACTACTGTAATTCTAACAGATGGAAATGGAATTAAGTATTAGGTTTTGTAAAGTGAGGAAAATTGGAGAAAATCCTTGAATTCCCATCACTATTTCAGCTCTTAAATTTTTCTAGAATCAATTTTAAGTTTAACCGGCATTTTTGATTTACAACAGAGCCGGACTTTAGATGGGTGTTCCTTACTCGCTTCCTAATGCAACAAGGAGTTGCCACTGTTACTGGGTAAGTTGTTTGCAGTGCACAAAAAAGGAGATTAAAACTATAGGTCAATTATCAATAGACATCATTTCCACACTGTCTTGCATGGAATTTTGTCTTGACAGCAGAATTGCAAGTTTTCTAATAATGGAAATGTACATGATTTATTGGGTTACGCATAGGGGCAGGGTTAGAAGGATGGTGATATTTACAAACTTAATTCAGCCGATTGATACCAAGAAAACCAAAAAATACTTTATAATGTAACTTCAAAGAGTATAATATTATGCACCTTTTCCTGTGGAGTAGGAAATGTTCGACCAAACTAACTTAAAATATAGCTATGTTAGCTTGAACAGCTTCACATTTCATGTGATTTAGAAATATTTTTTTTTGTAAAATATTTGACAGGTTTCTAGAGTTTTGGTTAGGTGATATGGTACAACTACCAAACTGTTGGTCACCTGAGAGAGGTGTAGCTATGTTACTTCTACCATTGCTATTTGCAGCTGCTATTTTGTAAGTAAAAGTATTTAATTAAAACAATTATCTAGTCCCTTTTCTTCAATCTATCTTTTCTTTTGGTGAGAGGAGCTGAATGAGGTTAGAGAGGAGAGTGATAGGATAAAGAAATCTTGAGAGAGAGTTGAAAAAGGATGGGATGTGGTTAAGGGGCTGTCATAAGAAATTACATGAGTCGGAGCTAGTATAAGAAAAGTAGAGTGATGATAAGGGTGATGAAGAGATGTAACATTGCAGACTATTAATTTTGGTGATATAAAGTATGAGAGAGGATGGTGGTGTGGTAAAGGAGCTATTGTAAGAAATTAAATGAGTCAGAGCTAGTATAAGAAAAGTAGAGTGATGATGAGGTTGATGAAGAGGTGTGGCATTGCAGACTATTTTTCTATATAAAGTATGAAAGAGGATGGTGGTGTGGTCAAGGAGCTATTGTAAGAAATAAAGTGACTCAGAGCCAGTAGAAACATAGAGTAATGATGAGTTTGATGAATTTGATTAATAGTGAAAAAAAATTTGATTGATAGTAGTCTACTGCCCATTATCCTGTCATTATCATTGTCTCAAAATGAAAACAGTGAGTGGTAATACAGTAATCTATTCTATGAAAGTGAGAGTTATTATGTCAAAATGGAGTGATTCATTCTAATTTGCAGCTCTGTTGTTGGAGGCTTTTTGTCTGACAGGCTGGGAAGACGAAAACCTTTAGTAACTGGATCATGTAAGTAAACTAATGTTCATACATAATATACATATTAACAGTATTTAACAAATTTATTTAAATTATTATTTAATAACAATATCTAATTTATAATTAATCATTGATTTTATTTTAGCTGTCTTGATGAGTATTTGTGCTGTAATCCTGGCTTTTCTTCATGGAAAATATGCCTTTTATGCTGCAGTACCAGTAGCTACGACATTTGGTATTTAAACACTACTTTATACATATCTTTTTATGAAAAAAATATTATGTTCAATGGCAAAATTTTTTTTAAATGAGAATTGTAAGCTTTCTTGATGATTTCAACCTGAAGCCCAAATGGCAGTCTACGAGTCAATAGTCTAGCTATCAATCAGTTTTAAAATAGATGGATATTAAAAAATTCTGAAATTCAGCTGAAGGTGCGCGTTAGCCACCATCATTTTGGTTTTCAAAACCAGCTCTTTTCACTACTTTTGCAGATCTAATCACTAAAGCCTGGTTCATACGAGCAACGCAAATGCAAGCGCAAACGCAAACAAAAGAAAACTACGTGTGAACTACAGTAACTCAAACTCAAACACAAATGCAAGGAATGGAAAATGTTCCATTTTCTTGTGCTTGCGTTTGTGTTTTTAACGTGTGAACCGGAGAAAATGCAAACGCAAGCACAAACACAAGACGTGGTTCACACGAGCAACGCAAATGCAAACGCAAGGAAAATATGTGTGAACTATAAACAAGCACTACTGCGCATGCGTATCTTAATTTACTTGCATTTGGTCACTTAGTCTAGTAGCTCAGCCAGTCAGAATGTGGGATTTGTGATAGGTCATTTAATTGTTGGTGTAGACAAAAAATATAAATATACTGCACCAGCACCTAATTTTTACAATGTAAAAACATAATATTTCTATACTAGGTATAGGATTTGGTGCATACTGTGCTGTAGATTTTGCTCTGGTTATGGATGTTCTACCAGATGACAAAGACAAAGCCAAGGACCTTGCTATATGGCATCAGGTAGTTATAATCATGGACTAAAGTCAACATGTCAGCTAAGGATAGTTAAAGTCACTTTTACCCCCATGATATCTATCATAGTAAATGCATAGTATTGAAGAAATAGAAAACGCGGGCATGTGCTGTGTGCTGTCATAAAGCATGCGGGGGTTGGCAGAACAAGAGAGAAGTGTTAGGAGTGCTTCTGGACACTTCTTGAGTGTTCTGCCAATCCCCAAGTGCTTTATGACTGCACACAGCACAGCAAGCAATTTTTTTTATTTCCTTTATAAAATACAAATTACAATAATAGATAGGAATGATGCAACGAAAAGTGTGTGTGTGTGCAATGTGCTCTTATGAAGCACGCGCTCCAAACCAATCAGAACGCAATATTCATAACAGTTATTTTATAATACATAATTATGCACTAATTATTGAGGCCTTAAGTGCCACCTGGCATGAAGCCAATAGGTGAAGGAAGGTGATGATGATGATGACTACGGCAACAACAATGATGAAGATGATGATGACATGAGGTTGATAGTAATGATTGTGAAATAAATATTAACAACGATAATAAACAATAATAGAAATATTGATCAAATGATAAAATTCTGTTTCAGGCTCTTGTTCTGCCACAAGCAATTGCTACACCAATAGGAGGGATAATCATAGATGTGTTTGAGAGATGGAGATGTGACATTGGCCTTGGATATATCATTCTATTTCTTGTCACCTCAGTTTACTTTGCTCTGAGTGGAGTTTTTGTTTTGAAAATCAAAAAAGCCAAGTAGATCTAGTTACACTTCATTTTGCAAATTATCTAGGAACATAATCATTCACAAATAAAGGTCCAAACCTTTGAAAATAAGCCCTAGAATTGCATGCTCAATGTACCTTTGGTGTAAAAAAAATTTGCTGGGGCAATTTTCATATGGCATTTTGTGTCTCAAAATACAATATAGTGGGACCTAGTATAGTGTTGCAATTGTCTGTGGAATAAAGGATATTTTAGTGTTCTTACACAAGTAAAAAAAATAAATCTGGCACTCTCAATGGTCACAATTTATGTCTTGTGCTGTTATATTAACCTACAGGTGATGGTCATTTTTTGATGTGTGCCATTTGAAGAGATAAATAAAATTTGAAAAAAACAACAAAACAAAACTCTTTCTCCATTATTTATTAAATTCACTTGTGTTAAAAATGCTAAAACAATTAGTCAACTTAGGCACAAAATTAAATATACTCTAGAGATGAATGGATGAATAAGTGTTATGAAAGTTGCTGGCAACAAAAAGAAAATTGGTTAAATTTTGAACAAAATGGGTAGCTATTAGGCAAGTCATAAAACAGTAAAATATATATATTATTAAATATATAGGGGTTGAACACTGTTCATTTGACACTTTTATCATGGTCACTTAATTTATTATTTATAAAATGTAATTCATTGTTACTTTACACAGACAGGTAACTTAATACTCTCTTTTTGGTTAGTAATGTATTATAATTATGAAAACAGTTATATTCAATAACTATTAATAATAATTATTAATGATAAGTTATTTACATCTCAAAGTTTAATTTCAATGCTTTATTTTCTTGAATATTTTAACTTTGAGGGCAAGAGAAATTTTGTTATGGTTACATGTTTTAATATATTCCAGATTGTAAAATCTAGCATGTTTTAGAATCACTCAATAAATGAAAGAAAACTGTGTTTATGAGTATGAGTATGTGACCGTTAAACAAAGAAATGATAACTCAAGTAATGATGAGAGGTCTGAAATGGAAGTCTATTATGAATTCAATGCATACCCTTATAAACAATACAATAATATTGGTAATATAATTGGTTTTTTTTTTAATTACCTACCCATTTATCTTTAGTTTGTACAAAATTAACTACTTCTCTTCGCTTTCCTTTGCAAATCCATCGTCTTCCATTTTGAGCCACTCATTGCATTACAGCTCATTCCTGTGTGATACTCTGTCCAATAAAGTAGAATGCAGCTTTTTGACCTTTTTTAAATACAAACCAAAGAAAAAACTTTAGCTTCCTTCAAAAAACTTTCACATTTTATCAATACAATTACTCTGACACAATTCCTCTGAGCTTATCAAAATATGAACTACTAACAGACCTAATTAGAATTTAGTGTGAGAAAACCCACATCAAGGGAGGGGCTAGTATTACAGAGATCATTGAAAAAGGTACATTGTTCAAATAATACTCACATATCTTCCATGTTCTTTTGCTTTTTTGATTGCATTTTTGTGAGTTTGATGGTCAACTTTTTCTCCTGCTTTTAACATCCTTTCTGTTTTTTCAACCTGCTTTTTGAAATGCTCATGTTTGCTTATTTTGTGGTCGAAATGTTTTAGCTCATCCTGAAAAAAAGTGCATAAATTATGAATTACAAAGGGAAAATCAAATTACTTGTGTATTATTCACAAAATTAGTTTGATGACCTTTGAATGATTGTGCGTCCATGCAGTTCCTTCGTATGTATTTAAAGATTAAGCTTCATTTTCTCTAAACCCTAGTTCTCACTTAAGCAACACAAACATACACAACTCCATGTTCCCACTATGAAAAGAAGCTGCACAATGGCAAATGCGAGTTCAAGAGAATGGAAGATTTTATTTCTCTTCCATTGACATTTGCTTGCATAGTCTTGTATCCCTATTGAGCAACATCTACTGTATCTGTAATAACCCTTATGTACCTGTGGCTGGGTAGCCTGTATATCCGGGTCCTGCAAGGGGACTGGGGTGGCCACGAGGGCTGTCTGGTGTGAGAGAGGTGTGAAGAGCCGCCATGTTCTAATATTGTTGATAAGTGTTTATGTAAAAAAAATAATGTTTGTGGAAATACCTCGGGCCACATACCTTAATAGACTGCAGTTCAAATTCACTAAAGTTTTTTTCAAGAGCTCTTTCCCATAGTTCAACAACTCTATAGTCTTTAAACTGTGATTTGTCCTTTTCCCCTGTAATCTTTTCTTTAAGTTCTGCATAATGTTTATTCATTTCACTGTATTTATCCTTCAGCTCATCTTTTAGTTTATCTATCTGGTTTTCATTCATTCGTTCATGTATGTTGATAGAGTTGTCAGAGATATCATGCTGTTCTTGGAGAATTTTCAACAACATGTTATACTCCTCAATTTTTCCTTGGTGATGTTTAAATTCTGTTTTGAGATCATCCATTTCTTCGTTATCAAATTTACCTAGTGTATGGAAATAAAGAGAAAATATTGTGTCAGAGAATTAAGAGTCAAAGGTGAGCTTAGAGATTTCTATATAAGCCCCTTGCCTTTACTGATCTTAATAGAACACAGGATGTAAATCTACAAGTAAAGGGAGTGGCAGACAGGGTTTGAGAGCTATTTCTATACAACCCCCTCCACTTAATCCCCTTCACCAGTGGTCATCTAGTCCTAACTGATTGTGTTAGATCATAGAAGGAATATATCTACACCTATTAGCGATTATAAAAATAAATAGCAAACAGTGGTGAAGGGCTTGCAAGGAATAAGAAGACATATAATAGATTTCTGTTGATCATGACCTATTGTGATTGCTGAGAAACCCAACCCCCCCCCCGTCCTGACAGCTACTCTCCTTCAGGGCCCCCTACCCCTCCTCCACCTCTCTTAGGTATATGTACCTTGTTTTTCAGCAACATCCCAAAGCTGATGAAGTTTTTTATTGTTAAACATCCCTTCTTCTCGAACAGTGTTATCCTCAACTCCAGGTTCTGACAACTTTTGATGCCCTTCAACCAAATGTCCAAAAGCATATTTATCTAAAATTTGAAACAGATTTCTTCGTAGCTTTGCTTCTTGTTCACCACTAGCATCTCCACCATGTGCTTTAAGTTCTTTCCATTTGAGTTCTTTAGCATCTTGCTGGGTCAAAGCATGCTTCAAGCTTTCGAGCTTTTGTGTTGACATTTTGCTTCGTACTTTCTGCCAAATAATATTGAGTTTATGCATACGAAAAGGCTTGTCGTCTTGTCGTGCAAAGCTAACATCATTAAATATGAATAAAAATAAGATAGCTAAGACCGTCCTGATAAAATGAACCATTGTAGAAAAGGATAAAATCAATATTTTTTCTCCAAGAACGACCGAAATCTTCACTGCACGTTTCCAAAAATTTMTTTTACTAACTAGTTACCAAGCTTCTTGATGAGCAACTCGTTTCAGGTTCTCACGAAAAAAGCACCACAGGAAACCAAAAATTTAACCACGCCGCAGCGCCTATACAGCAAAAATTTTAGAAAAAAACTATATGACTGGAAGAGTTATTAATCTTCTATTTGAAAATACAAAATAATTGATTGACTGACTGACTGACTGCTTGACCGATTGATCGATCGGTCAATCAGTCAGCCCGGGAGGGGGGAGGGGGGTACTCCCCTATATTCGCTATACGGGTACGTGCCGCCAAACAGGGTATGGTTTTCAGCGATTCTACTCTGGAACAGGGTATATAAAATCGCGCTGGCTCTGGGACAGGGTATATGAAATCACGCTCTCTCCTCTCTGGAACAGGGTATCCATTTTCGCAATACC